ATATATATATATATATATATATATATATATATATGCAATAATTGGGAATGTACAGCGGATTTCAATGCTATGTAACGTATATATATATATTTGCAATAGTTTATTAGGAAAAAAAGAATGTGCTACAAGTTATAATTGTGAATGTGCAGCAGATTTCAATGTTATGTATGTAGCGGATTTCAATGTTATGTATATAAAATAATATATATGCAGTTACGTGGCAAAGTAATGAGCATGTGCTATAAGCATTTACGTGGCAAAGTAACGTAAGCATTTACGTGGCACAGAAATAAGGAATTTGCACAGCCCAGAGATAAAAATTTACTGAGCAGCACAGAGATAAAAATAAGAATTACCTCACCTCATCTGATTACGTATATAGGCAAGTACACTAAATTATTACGGGGATAAGAATGTTATCTCAAATCAGTGAACTGAGTGAGCTCTCATTTACCTATAAATAGGCCTCAATTGCAGTAAATTGAGAGGCACAAAGTAACGGATGTAGAGGAAAAAAAATAGAGAAGAGAGAAAGAGAGAAGGAAGAGAAGATAGAAAATAAAATCTTGATAAATCTACATTCCAAGGTAAGGGGGGGAGAACTTTGTTTCCTTAAAATTTTATCTATTATTATGTTTATTTATTTATGTTATTTTCTTTGTACATTTATCTAGTGAGGTGTCCCTAACCTCATTTATTTGCTTAACCTATGATTATTGTTATCCATAATAATTATTAATATGTTCATATTTTATATTGTTTAATTATTTTATAATGATTATCATTGTCATTTAATTAATTAGTACTCTTAATATATTTTATTTATGTATATGTCATTTATTTAAAGCTTAAATAATGATAAATTCTCAAATATATTTAGCGTGATTATTTTTATGATTGATTATAATATAATTATATTAAAATGTCTTTGACTCGTTTTAAAGATAAATATTATTCTATGGTCATAGAAGATAAAATTTGAATTATTTGTAGCAGGAGGTTTGACCTTGGGGATTTAAATGAGTAAGAAATGAAGGTGAAATATCCTATTGTTGATTAAGGTAAAATATCCTTTTATTGGTTGATATTATGATAATGCTCATTTATCCCGACTAGTCACTACAAGTATAATTCAAATTTTAATGTTAATCATCATTAATATATTATATATGTTTTTTTTGTATTAATTATTGCTATGCATATTATGTGATTAAAATTATTTATTTGAAAATTGTTCTCACTCCTTATGTTTCTTGTGTAATATAATCATAAAAATAATTAAATAAATAGAGATGGATGTTCCAGCGACCCCAGCTCCTTTTCCTTCAGTAATTTCTGCAGTATTTTCTAGGACTACGTGGAGTGTTGATGCGGTAGCAAATGCAGTCACACTTAATGGATTAGCAGTGTCGAGTTTTACCTTTTCTCCAAACCAAGAAGTCCCTACCGTGATCGACGGCCCCATAATAGTCACTTTCTTTTTACCGCCCGCTAACCATGTGAACCCAATTGTAAATTTGTTTCAACCACCCATGTAAATATTATATTAGAAATAGAAAAAGAAACTAGATTATGTAAATAGGCACGTATTGTAAATGTTTCCAAAAATATGTATTATATATGTAAAAGTAAGCAACTACGCACGTAGTAGTAAATATTTATGGTATGGTATGAGGTATAATATTATTATTATACATGTGTTTTCTAGCTACAAATATATTATATATATATATATATATGTATGTATATCACTAAGATTAATATTAATACGACAAGGCGTTACAACCTTTGGTTGATCTAGAGGTGATCCTAGGGGTGGATTGTTTGTCTACTAATGACATTTTTGATAGATTGTGTTAAGAAGGAGTTGATTTTTCTGGAGATTGAGAAAGATGGGTTAGTTTCTATAAAACAGATGGATGATTTCTTGAATGAGAGAACTTAGTGTTATGTGGTTTTCTCCACTCTAAGTGTAGATAGGGAGCTATTAAGGTGGTTATGGATTTTCCTAAGGTGTTCCTAGATGAAGTTCTAGAGTTACCTCTTAAGAGACAAGTGGAGTTTGGTATTGACTTGGTTTTAGGTACATGGTCAGTGTCAATAACTCTTAATAAAATGGCTCTAGCTAAGCTATATGAGTTGAAGAACCAAGTAGAAGATCTCTTGGAAAAATAGATGATCAAGCTAAGTGTGTCTTGTGAAACTCTCTATCCCACATGCTAGTATATACATATAAAATAAAGGAGAAGAAAAAAGGGTTTGAAAATAGATTATTGGGTTTTCTATTAATGGAGAAAATGATTACTCTCATTTTCCACTATAACTACAAACTTTGAGCTCTAAGATAAGTTATCATTTTCACAATCCACAAGTGATAGTTTTGACCTGCAAATATAGGAGGTGGGGATAAAGAACTATTGTTGAAAGTCATTTTTATGTTTTAAGGTTTTGTTTATATTGGTTTTCTTGCTGGTTTTTTCTTTGTGTTTTCTTTTTCTTTCTCACAGAATCTTAAAGATCAATGAAACTTTTGATATCATGTTGACTAAACACAAAAATAACAAATTAAAATAAGAAAATCTGTTAGTTCACACATATAAAAGGGGCAAAAACTGATTTGAAATACTTGAATTATAAACTCAATTTTGCACACATTGAAAATGTTATGACAAGTGCTTAAATACTAAAAATAATTAACTTCTAATTGGGTAAAACAAACAACAAATTATGATTAAGCTAATAAATAAACATCATTTTCCTCCAAATATAATTTGCTTTTTTTTTTTTTACATAAGTAACATTTAACCAAACTTATAAATAAAATAGAAAATTGTAGAGTTTAAAAATTTAATTATGACAGTGAAAAAATCTCAACCATTAATAATTATATTTATTAATTATAAAAAGAGATAAATACAAAAGATGATATTATACAAATTGTTCTACGAGTATGGGTACTCATCTTTGCTCATTTAGGAATTGTCTAAACTTGCATGATTTTCAACTCAAGACAATTTTACTGTGCACATGGCCATCCTCCATCCTTATCCAAGATTGAAGAGAAAAGGGTGTCTGAGTGATCTCTAGAATCCGTGCTCCTCTAGGCCAATCTCCATAACCACCATAACCAGTGTGCCTAGCATAGCATAACCATAGCTTCTTGTATGGGCAACACCAGTCCAATCCATGGTTATGTCCAACAAAAATTGCCTGCGGTTATGAAAAGGAAAACAGCTTTGAAAAAATGTCACGTGTGTCCATCAAAGCAAATCCATTATACATTCAATATTCAATGCCTATAAATCCCATATAAACTTTGGAGGATTTTAAGAGTACCCAGATGATGGTGAAATATGAAAATCTCAAGCCGCAGCAAGGGGAGACAAAACAAGAACAACCGGATTCTTTACCTATACATTTTGCTTTTACAACATGCATGCAACAAGTGAAAATTTAGGGAAAAGATGGGGTGAAAGTTGAAACTTTTTTCCTTCAAATTCCAAAGAGTACTCCTCTTCTTTTATGTTGGTTATGGATCAACATACAAATGTAAAACTGTTTAAATACTTTTTTTTTAGTCCCAAATCCCAATAGTTTCGTGAATTCTATTTTTTAACTTTTATAATTAAAAGTGTTTTATTTTGATTTTTATATATACTCTTCTTTTTTTGTCTTCATAGTTTTGTGAGTTTTTTTTTAGCTCCTATATCAATGCACAACAGGAGTTTAAAGAAAAAAAATGTATAGGGACCGAAATGGAGCGTTTTCAATTAGAATAAAAGGTAAAATTTATAAAATTATAGAAACTGTAAATCTATGTAAAACTCAACCGCAAGTCCTAACTACCCAGACAATCAAACATGTTAGATGCACACACTGTGTTTCACATCACGTTCACAAACAAATGAACAGTTTGAGACTAAAGGTGAAAGTACAAATTAAAAAAATCTAGTATAGTTTCTCAAATTTAAGGATGATCAAATGGTACAAAAAATATTATAAATTTATAACCAACCATCGAAGTAAAGCTTCCCAACCTTATTGATGAGTTTCCACGTCCAAAATAAAGTAAAATAAAAGATCATGCCAAAAAAAAATAGAGTATTGACGTGCCTTATTATAATTCAGCTGTCTCCGTTAACAAATAAGTGAGAATTCACAATTTCAATAGTGAAGCTAAAAAGTACAACACAAAACTACAACTCCAAACCTAATATTTAATGCTCCAAAAAGAGGTTACTCAACTTATTGCATTCTACTTGTAGAGTTTTATAAAATGGGAAAAAAACATACAATCACTAAGCCCAATTTTCTAAGTGTTTAAAAAGTCTTGGAAAATGCATCAATGAAATAACCAACGGCCTAAAACTTCCAATGAAAAATTTGAAGAAAATGATCATTCAAACGCTTCCATAAGTGTTTAAAAAGTCTTGGAAAATGCATCAATGAAATAACCATCGGCCTAAAACTTCCGATGAAAAATTTGAAGAAAATGATCATTCAAACGCTTCCACGAGTTTTATCTTGATCTATGCACTCTTTTAGTTACTCTCTCTGTTATTTATTATAAGCAAAAATATCACACATTTTTTCTTAAAAATATAAGTAAATTTCAAATATTTTATTTTATTTAATGATACTCTTCCTAAAATATTCTTCCTTTAGTGTATGATCTTTCACGGTTATATTATTTCCTTTAACATTTATAATAAAAATAATTTTAAAAAAATATTGTGAGATTAGTAAAATTTAATACAGATAACTAATTAATTTTCTTAACATGTGTAAAATATTTTTTTTTAATAATAGAGAACAAAAGGGTAAGATATAAAAAATAAATAAATAAATGTAAAGGTTCAATCCATATAGCTCTCTAATTTTTATGTGCACAAGCTTTCCCTACCACTTAATTGTCACAACGACATCAAGCATTTGAGTTTGAACTGGTAAAACAGCTGAACTCACCAAAACAGATCTTATATATCACAAATCACCTTATGTCTACCTAACTTCAATATCTGATTATAACTACTGTCATATCGCTCATTTCTGCACACATCAACTCTTTAAATCTTCTAAAGATGTGATGTGTGTTTTGTAGAGAGGGGTAACTAGCATATTTTTCACAAATAAGACCATTTTTCTATTGATGTCAAAGTAGGATCCAACTCCCCTCCTAGTTCTAGTTATGCAGTACACTTACGATGGCCACCTAGGCATTCAAGTTAATTAATTGATACTACCACATCTTTAAAAATACCTACCACAAAGTAAAATCAATAATCAAACAGAAGGTGCATCAAATATGTTTTAGACAACAGCCTTCATCTATATCCATGGGTGAGAAGAAACCTAGTCATTAAGTGTCTGAGTACAAACTCATTACTATATCCCCATCTTTCCTAAATCTCTAACAGAATTATAAGGGTCTAACACACTGATAAAATACTTTGAAAATCTCTTTTTAAAACCTTCATGCTTCACACAATTTCCCAATAAATACATTTGACAAACAAACAGTTTCCTTGCATCCATCATGGAAATCAAAACTTAGTCATCAAACAAACACATCTGGTGGTTCAAACTTCAAACCTAACAAGTGGGGTCTTGTGGATTTGATTTTTGTTCTGCAGATAGTTCTTGAGGATATGACAAATATAGGAGGCTGGCTTTGACTTTACCTGGACAGAAGTTCTGTTCGCAAGAAGATCCATGATACCGGTTTCAACTTCTTGAGCAGCAACATCTTCCTTGTTGATTGAACCTACGCAAGGCTTTTCTATGCCAGATTTTGGAGCCACCACCTTATAAGCTGTACTTGGAATATGCCAGAAAACAATCTCCGGAACCCTGTCATGCAATATGTTTTGTTTGGATTAAGCAAGAAAACACTTTTTTTTTCCAACATGTTTTACTTGCTTAATTGAATAACGCATAAGAAATCAACAAAGGCCTAGTTTGGATAAACTTCTGTATAAGCACTTAAAGAAGAAGAAGAAACATGGGGCAAAAATGAACCAAACTTCTCTCGTGTTAAATTCAAGTTATACCCTTCAACTTTTGGAGAAGATTCATGAGAAAGCTTCTAGGAAATGTGAGAGAAGTTTCGTTACATTCACTAGTGAGAGAAGTTTGATTTATTTCACCTCGTTTTCTTCTCTCGAGTGTTTATTAAGAAGTTGATTTATATAAAATTTTCTTGCTGTTGGATGCGTTTAACTTTAAAAGCAAAATAACTTCTGGTTTAAAGCATTCTCATTCTACCTTGAGTCAGGGTTAATTTCTTCAGCTTTCTGCCTAAACCATTCTACCTGGCTACTAGATATGACTTCTGGATAGGAACCACCACCAGAATCGAGGAAGTAAAGGAAAGCCACTGGTGATTGCTGATCATCTGGTGATGAAACTTCAAGGACATAGTTGGATACACTTGGCCAAAGATTTCTAGGGCCATAGCTAGAAAATGATCCATTGTTCTTGATCTCATTTGTCATTAGGCCCAATCGTCCTGTTCCTTTGAAGCTACATTCTTCTCCTGGAATTTAAAATATAACTTTCACTGAAGATATTTCAAACACTTTTCTTATGAGAAGAGTGTGAGAGATATAATGAAGCGAAAAGTATACTCAGCAAATACAAGATAAAAGTTCCATGTTGAAAAGGACTATAATACAATAATATAAGTGAAATAGAAAAAGACCTTATGTTCCAAAATAGGCACGATAACTAATAGCAATTGAAATCCATTTCAATGAATAGGTTTTTTAACTCTTGATCCGTGTACACGAGGTTTACCACTTGCTTCTTCATAAATCTCCCCCAACTTCAGTTCTCAACTAGCTCAACTACGTACCTCTACTGCATTCGTCCCAAGAGTGATAGATATTGGCTTGTAAAGTTTATAAACTCTAATATGGTCATACCACTAGTAGATGAGAATCGAGAACTAGATATCTCTAGTGTGAAGTTTGTAGAATTGAACATCTATAGATGATTTAATAATAGTCCAATAGCAAGTGGCATGACAAGTCCAATAATAATCACTAGAATAAGCTTTTAATACAATTTTAAGAAAGTAGATTTGGGCTTAACTAAATCTTATAAAAATCAGCTAGTATTTAATTCAACTTTACAAAATTGACTTGTAAGGTTATAAATATCTCCACATACATACTTTAATGTGACAATATCATTAGTCGCCATGAGATCTCCAACTATCTATGTTCATTGTTTGATGAAGGAAGTAATTATAGTAGAAAACATTTTCATTGGTTTCGAAAAAGCTGATCATAAAAATATTCTTGGAAGCTTTCGCAATCAAGCAATTAATTGACAACCTGCTGCCAAGAATCTTAGAATAGGTGGCCCTCTTTTTAACTTTACGGGACTTGAATACATCTCTTCATGCCCATGACATATGTATCAATGGTAGGTGTCTCATTTAAAGTAGATCTAAATGACTTTGATACCATCTTAGAATAGTGAATTTAAATCTAACTCAACCCTACAAAACCAGCTTATAAAGTGAGGATTGTTTTCCACTTATATATTATTTAATTGCCTAATCTCTAGTCGACGTGGGACTTGAGTTTTTCCTAATAAGGAATGCATCAAAAAATGAGGTATCTTCTATTCTCTGACTAAATCTTCTACTCCATTCCAAAAGCAAAATATACGTAACCATAACAATTACATCCTTCACATCTATTACTGTAATACTTGGTACCTGAATAAGAAGTTGCAGTTTGAGGGCAGTGAATTGGAGGAATTCCAGGTGCAGAGAACCACTCTAATGGCCACTCAAATGCAGCATCATCATGGTTTCCAAATACACTGGCCCACGGTATGCCTCTATTTCTTGTTGGGGAGATTGCCTGATCCCAATACAAGCTTGCATTTGCAATCATTATATTGTTAGCCGTGATGACATCACCGAGATATATTACAAAATCTGTCATACAGTTAACATCATTAGTATTTTGAATGGAATTTGAAGATCATGACACTTCAAAAGAAAATTATCCATTGCCTCAATGAAGTATATGTAGTATTTCTTTTCAATGGCATTCATAAATTTGGTTAAATTTCATGTCTTATGAAAAAATTCGTTATACCTCCATGCCGTTAGAAAAAAATAAAAATAAATCGATGTAAGCTTACAATTTCTGAGTTCCTATCCCTTGCTATTTATGTAACTATCTGAGCATGAGAACTGTCTTTTTATTTCTTCTGTCTTAGACTTATTGGCTATTACCTGATCACATATTAGCAAGGAACATATGTTTAACAAATATTCATATTATATTTGTTAAATTATGCTATTGTTATACCAGAAAAGTGTGATATAGTTGGTAGATAGTTTGGCCCTCAAGGATGTAAAAAGGAGTTCGATTTCTGATCAATTTGTGTCGAAAAGATGAGAGGAGTCCACTCTTCAAATGAATCTTAGTAACTCGGAGGATTAATTCTTAATTTTCAGTTAAGAGATACTTTAGTTTTAAAATAGAATATTTATCACATTTATCCCTTTTTTTCACAGTATTTTATTTCTACCTTTTTCTTTCTTCTCTCCAACCCAATCTTACTAAAATAGAATAGTAGTTTATTCCTATATGCTTCGCGTTAGTGTTCGCTTTAATTCGATTTTTATTTAAAAGTTATCGGAATCAAACAAAAGAAACTAAATGTGATTCAGTCTGAATGTATAACGAAATTTCAATCGAATCAAACTCGTCTTTTAGAACTTAGTTTGATTTAATTTTTAAAGTTTTAAAAATATATTATTTAAAAAATCAACTAAAATATAATATTATATTATAAATAAATCATAATTTTCTATATTACCACATTAATGAGTTTGATAATAATATATAATCTTGATTCATTATCAAGTGTGACCGTAAAAGACATATGCTATAAAGCTTTAATTTTCTATTTCCTACTTAAAAAACAAAATTCATGGAATAAATTTTGCCTATTCCTAAAACATGATTTATTGATTATTTAATTAGAGTTAATCATCTATACACTTCCGGTGTAAAAAAATTTTACACTGACAACTAATTATATCTCTTAATTGTGTCACATGACACAATTAAGAGATATAATTGGTTGTCGGCGTAAAAAAACTTTACACTGACAGTGTATAGATGATTAACTCATTTAATTAATTTTCTTGATATATAAGTTAAGTATAACATTTCTAGTATTTTTGGTTGGTTGGGAAGAACAATAAACATAAATTATATTAACGTTAACTAGAAAAAAAAAATGAATGTGTAAGTTTGTTTTTTTCTTTCTTTCTCACCCTACATATATTTGAGAAAAAAGAATATATTCATATATAAGTTGCAATTGGATTTGATTTGACTTGATTTTATAATCCGAGGGTTTTGATAAAACAAAAAATTGAACCAAACAGCATGTATTCAATTTGTTCATCAGTTTTCAATTTTTGGATCAGTTTTTGGTTTTCAGATTGGGTTTTGAAAAACACTGCTCTCAGAGTTTACGTTATATTATTTCTAATAAAACGAGGCTGTACTTGCAACCAACTCCCATGAAAGACTTCAATTCTCCAACCACAATAATTTCGTATATTTCAGCCTATACCCACTTTTATCAGGGAGAAAGATACTTGATTTTATTTAAGGAGTTATATTTTAATTTATTTTAAAAAATTAATGTTATAATTTATTAACATATTACTTCTAAAACCTACAAATTTTAATTTTGGTGTATTTTAAGAAAACTAAATTTATAATTTGCTAATACGTTTTTTTTTTTTTTCTATAAATGAGTGTATTTTAGTAAGTTTCATGTGCAAGCATGGTTTACATCCCTTATTATATGAGAGGATTATTAACATGCATCTCTTATTCTCTCTATAATATTAAAATAGGATAAACATAGTTGTTTATCATTTTGTGTGTATATTAGTGCAAAAAGAGAATATGACATATTGAAGTGAGAAAAATATTTGTGAATAAAGATTTTTTTTAATATAAGATTTTGTATTAGAGTGAAAATTAAATGGATTAGTTAGAAGTAATGTGATAATGAAGAACTTAATAAAGTAAAATAAGTAGTCAAACAACTTGTATTGTGATGCTCTAATAAGAATTAACATATATGTAATGAGATAATTTCTCTCATAATAAATGTTGTATTTAAGGAAAAACTAAATTTTAAAATAAGTACTTCCATCTTTTCACAATTATTATAATTTAAAGTTTTTATATAAATATTAAAAATGACAATAAATATATAAAATACAATTTTATTAAATTAGTTAGCTTCTATTAGGAGGAAAATTAGAAGAAAAAAAATTAATTAATAATAAATTAAAAAATGATAACTTAATTCATTTTCAAATATTTTTTAAATATTAAAATTGTCATTATTATGAGACACAAGAGTATTATTTTAATTTTTTTAATGTAATATTAATTATCTATTTTTATTTATACTCATCATTACATTTTTTTAAAAGTTATTATTATGTTGTATATTTTTAATAAAAACATTAATTTTAAGATTATTTTTCTCATTCATCTATTTATTATTTTATTTTAAGGCTTGTAAAAGAATTTATGAGGGAGGAACCATTAACCACGTAGTAAGTTAGAAGTTAGAAGCAATGAAACTTGACCTGGATTTTCGTGATGGAGCACCGTATTCATGACCCTGATGGAATTTACGTCTTGGCGTGGGCCCCACTCGGTCCACGCGTTCTCCCCAAAATGCAGGTCCGCGAACACCGCAATCTTGAAGGGTGCACCCGCCCGCATCGGAACCTGCCTCTCCGCGGCCCCTGGCGCCAGTCTGAATCGTATGGCGGACGATGCTGGAGCAGCGTGGGACGATGATCCGACGGTGGAGAAGAGAGAGAGAAAGAGTAGGGGAAAAAACGCACTCCAGTGAGCACCACAGTGAGTTTCCATTGTTGTGTGAAGGAAAGGGTGCGTTGCATATTTATGAGTGCGTTACGTTGTTGCAGGTGAGGTTGGTTGAAGGGAATTTTGGATAAGAGCGAAATGACAGAAATGCCCTGCTTTTTACCACTCCTGTGCCGTCGGCGCATGGTTGCTGACGCATTTCTTTACGCATGGATGTCAAACTGGGTAAGTTTGTAATCGTTAGAGATGTAACTGGATAACATGTTTAATGAGTTTGAGTTGATTTTATTTTTTTTAGTATTGGAGTCTAATTCAATCTGGATCAAATCTTTGTACCGAATGGATTAAATAATGTGTTTTGTGTTTTTTTTTAATTTGTGTATTGGGAAAAACTCAAGTCCCACATTGACTAGAGATTAGGCAATTAAATAGTATATAAGTGGAAAGTAACCGATTTTGTAGGGTTGAATTAGACTTAAATTTACTATTCTAAGATGGTATCAGAGCCATTTAGATCCACTTTAAATGGGTTACCTACCATTGATGCATGCCTCATAGGCATGAGGGGGTGTATTGGAAAAAACTCAAGTCCCGCCAATCTTAGATCATTAAAAAGGGTCACCCACCATTTATCCACGTACCAAGCCTAATAGTACTGGACGTGAGGGGTTGTATTGGGAAAAACCCAAGTCTCACATCGATTAGAGATTAGGCAATTAAATAGTATATAAGTGGAAAGCAATCCTTACCTTACAAGCCGGTTTTGTAGGGTTGAGTTAGGCTTAAATCCACTATTCTAAGAGTGTGACTCAACCTAACTTTGTAATATTTTCATCTCATAGTTTTGTTGCTTGATTTGATAATTGTTATCGAGAATTCTTGGACTAAGAGATTCTAAGACTACATTGATCTGAGTCAACTTAGAGAAGGTGCAAAAGGAAATTTTTTTAAAGGAAGCGCATAACTTATGTTTTCTATAACTCTATAGAGAAGCTAGAAAGAGATCCTTTTGTTTCTTCTTCCTTACTTGAATTTCTTTTCTACTCTTCTTCATAACTGAATTCAAGTGGGTTGTGGGTTGGAATCTTAGCTTGTGAAGGTGGAGGGTTTAGGGATGGCAATGGGGCCCTATGGGGGCGGGTAATAGTAAACATGCCCCCGCCCCGCTGAATGAAAATTGGCCACATACCCACCTCATATCCGCGCGGGTATCCATGAATTTCTTGAATACCCACAGATATCCACGGATATCCATGAATATTTATAAAATTTTTAAGAAATTAAAAAATTATATTACAAATAATTTTAAGTTTATATTTTAATGTCATTGAAATATTAAAAATAAAAATTCAATGTTAATTTTGAACTTTTATTTAACGTTAATTTTGTTGAAATAATAATAAAAATTCAAGATAATCAATAACTTAAAATACATCAATCTCACAAATAAGTTAAAGTTTCATCACAAAGCTACAATAATTCAATCTCATAATTCCAAATGAAAGTAAATAACTTAAAATACATAAATCTTATTGGTTCAATCAAAGCTAGAAAATTAATCAAATTACATCCAACATAATTCTATAACATGCTTAACACATGTCGGTAACTTCATCAACCTCACTTTTGTAAGAAAATAAGATGAGAGAGTGAAGTTTTAAGGTTATGTGGTACAAGGATAATTAGGATATTTAAGAAATAATATTAAACGGGTACCCGCGGGTATGGATATCATCATACCCGCCCCCGCCCCATTTATAAACGGGTAAAAAATTATCCGTCCCCATTATCTGCGGGTACCCAATTAGCCTATCCATTTATTATCCGTAGCGGGTTTTATCCACAGATACCCGCGGGTGCGGGTATTTTTGCCATCCCTAGGAGGGTTCGAGTAGATGTCGTAGAGAGTTTCTTCTCTTCTCCTCTTATGGATTTGAGTATCCAAGAGGTAAGGGAAGTAGTGATTCGAATTTAGGGCGTATTATAGAGTTGTGATTACTATAATGAATTGTTTATTTCTGTTGATTGAGTTACGATGAAGTTGAAAGGGGTTTTTCATGGGTTTTGAGATTTTAAGATGTTCATGGAGGTTCATGATTGATTGCTAATCATTTCAGTAGCATGTTGTTTTTTATGATGAATTTATGTTGTATGTGTTTTATAGATGTTATTTGAGGTGTTGTATGTTGTGGAAACTTTCTGATGTTCAGGTATTGTGCAAAATCAGGTTCTGTAGTACAGAATCTGATATCGTGTTGGGCACGCCTTCAAGGTGCCAAATGTGGTTCTAAAGGAGAGGTCTCTATCTCGGTCATGTTGGACGTAGTATTGGTGGCACCAAGCATGAAGAAAGAGACTCGTCTTGGGTCGGAACCTCATCGAGCGTGATTGAATGGCGCTAGGTATGGATGCCTTAAGGGTTCTTTAACTTGGTGGCATTGGGCCCAAGGTTGTGTGGCACTCAGCATGGCCAAGCCAAAGCTTTTTGTCAGGATTTTGCTAGGAGTTGTGGTGATGATAATAAACAAGACTCAGGTAAAGACTCTCTGCTTGAGATGGAGTTGGGTGTGGTGTTTTACCACGCTAGGCATGAGGTCCCAAGGACCTCTGCCTTAGCCACACCGAGCGTGGGTTGTGTAGCATTAGGCTTGAGCGAGGTAGAGAACTCCTTGCCTTAGTAATGTTAGACGCATAGTGAGTGGCGCTAGGCGCAAGCTGGATGATTTGAAGTTGCATTTTAATGGTGTTTTTAAGTTGATTAAGGATAACTAAGTTGTATGATGAATAGTTGGTGGTTGAATGTTTTATAGTTGATTTATGATGAATAAGTTGTATAAATGGTGTGGCAAAATGTTATGAGTTAAATATGTTGTGCAATTTTAAGTTGTTTCAGTTACTTATGTTGATTTATGTTATGGTTGCTTAAGACGTAAATGTGGTAAAGGTGTATGTTGCTATGTTGTTTAAGTTAACGTGTTAATGTTGAAAGTTGAATGTTGTATGTGTTTTATGTTGAAAAGGTTGTTAAGTTGAATGTTGAAAGATGAATAAGTTGTTAAGCTATATATATGAAGGTTAGACACATATCTTAGCTACAATAGATAGAAATTAGATGGGAGTTAAAGATGTTTTTGAACTTAATATCCCATTGTTCGGATATATGTTGTGATGATTTAAGAGCCTGATTGAACCCTTTAATAGGTAAGTTGGCCTTTAAATGGGTAAATTATTTTTCAGTTGTCTCTTTTAGGATTTATGTGGTATTCGTGTGGGTAAGGTCGAGACACGTGTGTATAAAATGACCAATTGAGTAAAGTACCAGGTCAGTGAAGTCTCTAACCTAGTATCAGAGGCTTATGGTATTTGGAGGGTAACCAGTGGGTTAATCCCATAGGTGACTTAATGTTGCAGACTAATGTCATGATAGGCTCATACCCAAATTGTTTTATCCTAACATAGTACCATATTTCATTGTTTAAGTGGTGAAACCTAAGAAATTAATCTAACTTATGCTAGCCATTATTTCTAGCCTTGTATTAGTTGTTGTTTATGGTCTCAATGTTAGTTGTTGATTCTGGTATTATACCAACCGCTATGATTCGGTAGGGTCAAGTCACTTAAACTACTTAACCTAAGATGTAGGAGATTTCTATAATTGATATGCAAGATGGTGCATTAGATGATGCACATGTGTGTATGTTGATTAAGGAATATGTTGTGAATTGTTAAGTCGTTATGTGAATTATGTCTTATTGTAAGTTGAATTATTTAATGTGATGAATATGATGTGTGATGTCCAATTGATATGATGATTATGATGTTACCCTATTGTAAGATAAAATGTTTTAATATGATGATGTTTAATGAGTTGTATGTTGAATTTCTTTCACTAGCTTACCTTATGTTTCCATTGTGGTGGGAACTGCAATGATTATACTTGATATAGGAATAAAACAAAATTAGTAGGATGACTTGTGCAGTTAGAGCATAGTCATGGTAGAGGTGGCTAGTTTTGATTGTAAGTTGGGATGACAAATATATCCGTACCTGCGGGTAATACCCGAACCCGTCTCGACTTTGACGGGAAATACCCGGTTTGACCAGGTACGGGTAAAACATGATATATTAAATCGGGTACGGGTACGGGTATGTACTTACTTGCCCCGTACCCGTACTCGTCCCCGTTCCCATTTTTAATTTAATACCCACTTTCAATTTAATTATATTAAAGAATTTTAATATTTTTTATGTGTGATTATTTATTATAATATGATATAGAGAAATAACATAATTATAATTATAATATAATAAAAAAGATAATTTAAAAGTATCATTTTTTTTACAAAAAAATAAAAAATAAAAAAATTTGATGGGTACGGGTACGGGTACGGGTATATCCAATACCTGATGGAGATGAGTTTGACTCGCGGGAATGGGTATCATGAAACCTGTACCCAACCCGCCTCGTTGCCATCCCTAGTTGTAAGTTACTCCTATGTAGTCAGGTTTTGTATAGTCATTGATTGGTACTTAGGTTTTATTTTGCAATTGATACTATATTTTGTATATATGATGTATATATTGGATACCAAATACTAGTTGTAATATAAACTCCAATTCTGATGTATGTTATTTAACCTTTCACTATGCAACAGTTGTACAGTAGTTAATGTAGTGATATATCGGATCATTATAAACCTAGTTATATATTATTATTATTATTATTATTATTATTATTATTATTATTATTATTATTATTATTATTATAAGTTAGTGTGATTTCTTATTCACGACAATACTTTGTATCACTTTTGTTTAGTAATAAATATTGCGTTTTTGAGTTGATAACATTGTAATAATACAACATATTTATTTTAAATTTTATTTTGTATTGATATGAGTTGTTTGAGCTAATAACAATGTAGCAAACAAAAAAATATTTTAAAATATAGTTTGCATCATTTTTTTTATCAGTACATTAAATAAGATATCAAATTATTTACATATATCATAAAATATTTAATTTTTTATAAAAATAAATAAATTTAATTATGTTGACTCGATTAATCTAACTCAATTCAACCTATTTGTG